TTATCAACTTTATTTCAAGATAAAATAGGGCCTGAAAATTTATGCTCAGAAGACAGACATCATTTAGAACTACAATGAGATGTTGGGCTAGAAATGCTCCGTAGCCTCAGCTGATGAGGTGTCACTGCATCGCTGACAGCTTTGTAAAGACACACGAACTTTTTCTATCCTTCATCACAAGATGCGACCGCAGTGTCACTGCCCAGCAAATTTGTGCTGCAGCCCATGAATTTACGCCTGCATCTGGTTATTTTCAAAGGGCTCATATGTTGAGAGAAAGAGGGAACCCCGCGTGGAGTCTGCAGAACGGCTCGCTGCCAGCAGGTCGTGCGATACCTGCTGACTTTCCCTTCTCCACTCCCTCGGTATCAGGCTGTAGTTCTACAGAGACAAGACACCATTGCTGCTGAAAGGCCAGTTCTCTCTTCCCCAGGGACCACCCCTCCACTGCGCCGATTTCCCGCTGTAGCATCAGGTCAGCAAACTGATCTTGGATAGAACTAAACTAGGCAAGAAAGGAAAACACATCTGTGTTTCGACCGCTTATTTGTATAACCCAAAGACTTGGCTTGGGATGCAGAAGACAGAGCAAAACCAGGCATAAGGGCAAGAGCAGCAGAGCTGTTAGCCTGGGGAAACGCAGGCCCAGGTCTAGATCCTCTTGCATGCACTTGCCCAGTTCTTTTCCAGATATAACCATCCTACCTAACAGTCAACACCATTTTACCTTGCTTACCTTTAGTCCCTCTGTTTCTATCACAGCAACTTAATCTTTCCCCTCCCACTCTTGCAGGAAGCTGACAATGTTTTGGAGGACAAAGCAGCAACACACCCAAGCTGTGAAGGTCTCTCACTTCATCTTTGCAGTGCCCCTGCCGCACTACTACAGCCTCCCTAAGATCACTCCAGGAAAGCAAGCGTAGCTTATTCTAGACACCTTCTGTAAGAAGTTTTAAATTTGAATGGACCATTAAATACAAAGTTGATTAAGTTTACAACTATATTGCATGCAGCAGAGATTAAGGACAGATCTAGCAGTTCCTCTCCAGTTTTACCAATGCATACAGAAGTTAGACACTTAGCATCATATTTCTAACATGTTTTTGAATATGTATTATTTTAAACAGAAAACTGATACGACGTTTCAAGAACTAGGGAAAGCCAAACTGGCAAGAGAGGCATAGAGAACAGCAACTCCTCCTCAAAGAATGAGAACAGGTCACCTTCGCAGAATCAGAAGCATTTTGCTTCAAGAACTAATCAATAAACATTTTAAAACTTTTAGCTATTATGGGCTGTGGCAGGAGCAGCAAGTTCAAGAGCTTCTCTCCCAGAGCCAACCTCCACAGAAGCCAATTAACCTAGCTCCATTTTCAGCAAACACTTCTGAGGAACTTGCTTTTACAGATGCGATAAACAATAGGAGAAGCCCAGTCTGGCTACGTTCCCCACCTGTCCCTTCCCCAGTAAAACTCCTGAATAGAAATACGGTTAACAGAATCCCTTTCACCAGCAAATCATGGGAACTCTGACCTCGGCTCAGTTACAGAGGAAAACCACAGCGTTCTGTTGTGTGTTATTTATTCTAAGTACTCTGAGGTCTGACCAGAATACATAAAGAATATTTTAGAACTAGAATTTTAAACAACTTCAGTATGTATATTATATAAACTTTTATTTACATAAGGCATCAAAATTGTCCTATTTAACAAAAAGGGTCAACTTCCCTTTTACCAATACTTTGGCGAAAGAAATGTCACATTTAGTAGACTAATACTCACTGGTATACTTCTTCTGAACAAGTAGGTACAATCCAACATACAAGATGAAAAACCAAACGCAAACGATCTAAGCATACTATTTCATGAATCACTCTGCAGAACAAAGAATTAAGGCTTGTTTGCATCACAATGATGATCAATCATGCATCATTTATTCCCACAAAGAATAAAATTCATTTCCAACTGGAGCAGCAATAGCAACAGAAGTAGTCCAGTATAATCCCCATATTGTCTACATCAAAAAACAATTTGGCATCCTAGAAATTCGATTGAAAAGCAGGGAGAAAGAGAGAGGAAAACAGAAAATGGCCCTTGCTTCAGAATCCTTTATAAGCATTTCCAGTGTCTGTTGGCAGGAACCCTTCAGTTTAAAAAAGGAAAAACAGGACTGATCTAGAAACCTTTTCAGAAAGACTAAAGTTACAGTTCCATTGACCACGAGTATGAAATGTGTAGAGAAAATACATCGTTTGGAATAACGAATTCCACAGAGATCCCCAAGTAAATGGCATATATACATTGAGCTGAGCCTGTTTAATAGGTCTGATTTATAAAAATGGTAAACCTGTATTATTTTCGGCCTGACCTAGTAATTCCTGAGTTTTAGATCACTGCTGAGCCACAGCAGACAAAACTCTGACTGATGTAGTGAAAAGTTTTGCAAATCACTTTCAACATGAGCATATATTTTGTTCAGCCACTTTCAATCATCAATAAAAGTCAGTCTTCCGGGTCCTTCATTCTTCATCCACCGCCGGTATCTCTTCCATCGGGGATCCATGGCCATCTTCTTCTTTAACTCCTCCTCTTGTTCTCGTTTATAGACCTGATTGATAAACAAAAAGTTTTAATAGCGCTGAAGAAACAGCTTAAGTCAACCTCAAGGGGGGGGTGTAAGCATTTGTAGTTCAACCATTTGCCAGCTTACTGGTTTTACAGAAGACTGAATTGAAACATAGAAGCAGACCGTGACCAACATCAAGTGTAGGTGTACCTTCAGCCAAAAAGCCTACTGGCTGTAGTTTAGATGCTTTGCATTTTTGCTGAGAGCAGAACTACCTCCTTGTAACACGGTGCTGCAAGCTCCAAAACTTTTGATGCTAAAGAACTAGATGCTCACGCATTTGACAAAATAAAATTTACAGGAAAGAACTACTAACACTCTAAAAGCTAAATTTTGAGTCCCTTCTTGGCACATGTACTGTTCAATGCAGTTGCTCAGCTCCTCACTTCAGTTGTTTTCTGATTTCAAAGTCATTGTCTAGATGGAATACTGCTATGGAACTTATTACTCCTAATTAAGTTTCTCAACTAACTTATCTCTGCATTAAGCATCTGCAGTATCAAGTAATAAGCAATTACATTCTGTCAAGAAATGGTGTCATTGTAATGAAATCTACAATTATCAGCAAAGTTGAGTATCTAAAAAAAGCAACAGCATCCGCATTTTTATTCTGGAAGGCAGTTTATGTAGATACAGCCAGTGTAAATCTCAACAACATACAGGTCTATGTCATCTCAGTGTCATCTAACTTCTTCCCGCAAGGGAATTACATTTAAGGCTCTGCTATGCATGAACAAGATTTTAAAAACATTAATAGATGGCTTTATAAATACACCAGCTCTATGTTCAGTGATCGTACAGGTTTTACAAATTACTAGGAAAGTAACAGAGCGGGGAAAAAAGTGTTGCAGAACTCCATGATGTATCTGTGTACTGAATTCTTGATCTTTCCCATCCTAAAAGGACACTGGAAAACTGCACAACATGCAGATAGGCATCTCCAATGATCAAAGAACAGAGGAGCTTTTGGGGAGAAACACTTAAGAGTATTTTTCAGCCTGGAAAAGGCATGATTAAGTTTCAAGTAAAGATATAGCAGTGGTACACAGGAGCACAGGTAGCACTAGACAAAAGAATAAAGCATGATTATTCTCCATGTCCACCAACAGAAGAACCAGCAGCGTCTGGGTGGCTTCAAAAGACCGATCTTCTACACACTGTTGAACTCATGACCAGATGGCACAGCAGACACTGAAAGTTTTAACGCATTCAAGGAATGCCTAGAGAAGTTTATCAAAGAAAAACTCATTAAAGCAATTACCTACAAAGAGACTATTTCCTTTTCAGGACGTCCCAAAGCTGCAAATTATACTGGATAAATATTGCTGTATAGGTGAAACTTTCATGTATTCTTCAACAAAAATCAACTGCTGGCCACCCACAGGAGATCACTTTGGGCTAAACAGACTTCACTTCTGCCAAATACAGTCCTTTTCTATTCAGTAACCAAAGCATCACTAGTTAGAAACAACATGGATCCCAAACCATGTCATTTCTTCCTCTACAACAACAGGACATCCATCCCATCTCACTTTTTTCCACTTCATATCTGCTTTGACTAGTAACGTTACTCACACTTTGGACTCCCAGACTGTTTTCTAGCAAACCCATCATAATTCAACACATGTATGTTCCTGTCGGCTAAAGACTTCCTTACATTAGCATCAATTTTACACTTTTCCTCTTCAAGTTTCTAGATTTATCCACCTCTGCCTACTTCTAAAGAAGCATTCCCTTATCTTTGGTTCCCTGCCAGGAGCAAAGGCAGTTCTGCCACCATCCCATTTCTTTTCCCAGCATATGCAGAGCAGCAGCAACACCTTCCCCTTAAGCAGGCCAAGTTCATATTCTCGATTTCTCTTCTAGAAACCTGACAACCAGGTGGCGCACACATGAGCTTCTGTGGAACAATAAAAATATTTTGTCAATCTGCCAAGCATCCCAAGTCATTCTAGACTGTAATTCCATGCTGTGGCTAATGTTCTTTCACTGCTCTCACAGAAAGCTTAAACACAAATTACGTATTGACTATTTAGCAACTGGCTGTCCGTGGCAAGAGTAGCAGTTGTGCCCAGTGGTATTTCATATACCATCTTTACTTGAACACAGCACATCAGGAATAGCCCCTGACTCACAGAAGGCCAAATGACTATCAAGGGGCAGTTTCAAAAAAAAAAAATAGAGTTAGGAATTACTGGCTTAGAAGACTGATGAAATAAGAGTTTTGGATGATCCAGGTAATCCTTATTTCAAATTATTACTGTTTGGAGAACAGTCTTCAACCTACTGTAATAACTTTGTCACATCACATTGTTACAAGAAAGCCTTTCATCAGATTCAGCTGAATGTTGTATACAGAGTCCCTAACAATCACAGGTGGATATCACCCGACCAAGCAAATCCCATCCCACACCCACGGGCATGGTCAGGAGCTGCTGCCTACCAGTCCACAAACATCAGAAGTCGAATAAAACACACCAAGTGGTTGTCTAACAGTTTTCAATTTAGAAAGCATTGAAGCAACACTTCACACAGCCCCACCCTTCAGGAGGCAGCTGTTCTTACTCTGGGAGCACTTGGTAACGAGCATTAGCTTTTCCACCAGAGCTACCCACCTCATAGTTTTCTCGTATCCACAGCTGCCGTTCAAGAAAGGTCTCTTTCTGATGATCTTCTAGGCTGTCAAACTGAGACTGAGACATTTTCATGTACCTTCGTATGATATACAGCTTCTCTTCCACACCGTACTCTCGGCCTTTAATAGTGAAACAATAAATCCACCAACAGTACCAAACTATGTATTTGCACAAGTAAAAAGGAGCAAGAAGGATCTGAAATAGAAGGATGTCATATATCTTGGGCTTCTGATAACCGCCTTTTATTTCTATTTTATTTTTAATAATGTCTTTGATGATTTCTTCCTCTTCTTCACGAATTTCTTCTTTAGATCGCCTGTTCTTGCCTTTTTCTTTAGTCTTGTTGAGTAAACCTTGTTGCCTGGCAATCTCAGTAGCTTGTATACGGTATTTTGGCACTGTAGCTAGGTAGTTGATGGCTTCATTGTAACTACTCCACCAGCTGAAGAACTGTAATTTAAGAACAGTATAAGTGAAAAACACATTTTTTATACAGACACATTCCTATTTGGAGGTTTTCCAGGTAAAACAATAATGCTGTGATACGCCTTTAACCGCAGCCATACTACAGCAAGGGTAAAAACCGAAGTTAACAGTACTTATTCTGCAGTATCACAGAAGCTATACCTATCCCTCCAAACTAAGTGAGGCACTTGGAAAATATATGTGTATCTCACAGCAGTATACAGTGATGAGGAAGGACAAGCAGCCACTTCGCCAACTGGTTTTGTTCACGAAAATATGGTAATCCCCTGAAGCTTAATGCTAGGCTGTGACAGCCATTCTTGGAAGCCCCCTTGGATTTATCAATAAAGTAGCTGGTATATGAAATTTCATTGTAAAACTGTCACCCATTTAAAATAAGTAATTAAACACGGATAAGTACGTGACAATCTCATTAGTCTGACAGGATCAACTTTACAAGATTCAACACCCATCTCTAATCTCCAGCTACCCTCTGAATTTCAATGGGGAAAAACAAACAAACAAACAACAAAACAGAAACATAGTGCCTGGGTTGAACATGTCTTACTGGGGCAACTTTAAAAAAAAAAAAAAAGCAGCATTCACCAAGACAAAGGAGACACGTACACATTACACAACCTCCACAAAAGTCAAAAAGCAAAAACAACAGAAAGCAAGAAAGAGGCAAATCAGTTTATGCAGATGTTTACACTGAATCTGCAATCATCTGGCAGCTGGAAAGTGCAGGAAAGTGAGTGTCTCCACTTACAGCCAAAATAAGAAATAAGAGGTGAAATGAAAATCTGCCATTGGAAGTAAGTCTGAAGAGAAATTAGGTGTCTGGCTGCACATGCCACTGGAATTTATTATTGCAGGCTCTCAAATTCTGATCAACGTATTTTTAACTTCCAATATCCCACTCAAAAGTGAGCTATTTGCACCACAGTATAAGCTGTACCTTAATTTCTTAAACTTTTTAGGTATTTTTAATGACATTTTGAACCAGTAATCTACCAGATCCTGAAGAAAAGAGTTATGCATCTTCTTTGACTTAAATATTTGTCAGCAATAGCACAAGTTCTCATGTAACACAGACTGTTTTCTTGACCTTGTAACTATCACCTTCAGAGCGAACTTTGCTGAACCAAATTCACTTCTCTCCTGACTTCACTGTGGTGTTTAAAATACACTGCAACGTAGAATTCACACATTAGTAAACTCTTGATATTCAGTCCTATCATCTGAATTAAGTTTTGAATTTAGTTCGCAGTTAGTCTGGTTTTTAAAAAATTGCTGATGTAGCTTGCCAAACTGATGTGCTTATTTGGAGCACCCAACCTGTGCTCAGGAACAGGCTATTCTCAGCCTGCTATGAAGAACTAAGTAACTTCTTTAGAAAAGCTGCACTCGTCTCTACGAAATATCCTACCACTAAAACAAACTAACCTCTACCTTTGTCCAAGGTACTAAGGGCTGTCAAAAATCTGCTCAGTACGTCCTCACTTCAGATCTGTTATGGACACCACGCAGAAGTTCACCACAGCAGACAGGAATGGGTGTCCTCACTGACAGTGTTTAATACCAGGCACATTATGAGAGCTGCAGATACTTCTCTTCCCATTGAGAAACTCACTGGGCACAGTCATGTAAACATGGAATTTTACCTGAAACACAGAGATGGCACACACCGTAACCAGAATCACTATTCTGACATCCACTTTAGGTGCCAGCCTCCTGCTGTAGTAGTGGTAGTAATGCCTGTAATACTCCTCCGGATGATCCAACATGTAGTCATAATCTTTACGAGTTTCCTCGTCCTGCAGGATGAGATGAAAGACATAGACAGGTTCAGATTCCTATTTTCACTTACTCTGCTATAGCTGTGTTTTACACCTCATTAATGGCCACACTGCCATAAAACTTGCAACAGGCCGACCAAGTATGAAGCACAGAGGAAAATCTCTGGTCCTTTTCTCATATTCTCAGTTAATTTGTTCTCACACTCACCTGCCCGCACACACGTGACCTATGCGGTCTTAAATGCACAAGCACGCACTGCACAAAGACGTTTCATACTGAAATAAAGACAGGCAACTGAAATCCACACAATACGTATCTCTAACTTCAGAACGGGAAATCCAGATGGACTGGAGTTAATAGGTATCACTCAGGAAAATATTTTTAGAGGAAGAACCTGTTAAGAGACTGTCGTACAGATCCTTTAGAGTTAGCTTGCTAGGCTGTGTGGAATGTGTCCAATGGAAGGCTGTTTCAAAACCTCACTGTTCTCATTTTCTTGGAGTTTTTCCTCATTTTCACCCAGCTAATTACGAGATGAGAAGCCTGATTTTGCCAGCCGCAGCCGCGATTCCTTTCCTACCCCAACGAAAGCTCCCTTTTTTCTCCTCCGCAGCCCTGAAACACTGACAGGTCTTCCTCCCGAGCGCGTCCCTGCCAGGCCGCACACACCTGGCCCAGCCAGCCTCCC